GGCGGCAGCTGCCAGGGGGTTGCTGAGGGTGGCGGGGACCGAGGAGGGCTGGTAGGTGCTGTTCCAGAAGGATGGCGGGAAGCTGCGCTGGCTCATCGGGAAGGAGCCATCTGGGTGAAGGGAGTGGGAGAGAAAGAAAAAGCAGCAATGAGCACACCCGGTGAGCCCTGGTCTCCTTTCCCTAGGGCTCTGCCCCTCTCCAGATCCACCCAAACCACCCCTCACATTCCCTTTGTCTCTCCAAAACTGCCAAATACAAGACATTACTCAGAATGAATATGAATTCCTCTCCAGCTAAACATCCAATAAACCCAGCCCAAGGCTTATCCATCAAACTGGAACTGTTTGCTCCAGGTTTCTCTTAGTATGCATTGTGGGAAAAGACTGTTATCTAAGGTGAGGGAAATGTCTGTTTTCCTCAGTAGTGGAAACTAAGTGAGAGCAGTTGTGCACCGCAGCGATTTCCAGGGCTGGATTCTTCTTGTTTGTTTTTGTACTAATCTCCCTGCCTAAGCATTTACACCCGACACCTAGGAGGATGCCTGAACCTGCCAGGAAAGTGACTGATGCCTTAGTGCAGTTTCAAAGCGGGCAGGAACAGTGCAAGACTCGATTAAGGGCTAGCTCAAATTTTCTAAATATCCCCATCAATTACACTGGACTTGCGTCTGTTTCTTGGGTATATCGCTAATGTATTTGGGAAGCACTCCACAGATCTTTGGAGAGTGATAAGGCAAAGGACAAGGACCCTGCATTTTATTTGCCGAGTAAGCAATGTATGAGATGGACTAGGGATTATTAATAGCACAGGTAGGCATTATGCATTACTAATTGGGAATGTGCTGTTCCCAAGACAAACAAAAACGTGCTCCTGATACATGTCTGCCGGGGGAGACATCAGTTTTGCGCCCTGGCATTACTCAGGAGAAAGGGAAGCGGTTCATGATGAGCAAAGATCTCTCCTCTCCTGCCATCAATTCCAACACTGGATATCTTTTGCACGTGAAATATTTAAACTACTGTTTCATTCTTAGAAACTACCGACAGCAATTCATGAGTGCACTGGGAAACTGGCTCTCAGTTGGACAGAAAGGTCTGCAAGAAAGGGGGTCCCCAAAATTGGTGCCTGCCCTAACTCCCTGGTAGCCAAGGGTGGGGAAGGTTATTCCATGCCACGTCAGGTACCCCCAGGGACTAGTCCAGTGTGAAGCAGGCAGTGTTACTGAGGGCTGCACATCAGCCACAGTCTTGGCCTTGGACACACAGGGCTACCATCATGGACAGGCCTGAAAGCCCTTATTTTCAGAAATGTAGAGTTCTTGTCTCTGCTCCAGCAACAACCAGGGTGGTGACACATGTCGGGAGAGACACAGGGTCACACGCAATCTGTTTTTTAGCAGTGGTAAGCTGGTGAGATGGTTCCCACATTTGCTTTATGCTTTGTTCCCATTTTTCATTACCACCATACTAGGCTTAAAGCTGCCTCCCCCAGGGTTGGGAGGGGAGTTTCTGCCACAGTCCCAGTGAGGGGTTCCCTCTGTGGCTCGTGCGAATGCAGCCCCCACCAGGTAAATCTACAGTGTAAAGGCCATTCAGTTCCCTGGACGGCGTGAACAGGAGAGCTTTGTCTTTTCTTTTCTTTTCTTTTTCCCTAAAAACGTCAAGTTGCCCTCGGTTCCCAGCGCGGGACAGGTCGCTCCCAGGGAATGAGGCTGCCCCGAGGTGGGGTTCCCGTCTCCCTGCGCACCCCACCGCGCCCCTCTACGCCCTCACCCCGCCAGGGGCCAGGGTTTCGCGGCGTCTTGGCGCTGCCCAGAGAGAAGCTGCTGGGCTGGCTGAGCGCCCGGCTGAAGTGCTCGTCCACCACGGCGCTGATGTCCCCCTGGAAGTAGGTGAAGAGGACGCAACGGGAGTTGATGTACTCAGCCTCGGGAGGTCGCTCCTTCTCGGGGCTGCAGTCCTCCTCCTTGATGCTGGCCGCGGGGTGGCTAGAGAAGGAGCTGCTGGCGCCGGCGCTGCTGCTGCTCTCCGGGGCTTCTTGCATTTTGGAGTAAAAGGCGAGTTTCTGGAGAAAAAAATGGAAAGGAGGAAAGAAAACAGAGCCGGTCAGGCAGCGCAGCGCAGCAAGGTGCGTTGACTCTC